CACACACTTTTTGCTTTTGTTAGTTGAAGTGCAGCAAGAGACCAATATCACATTATAATCAAATAAGAGAACAGAAGGCCAAGCAGTTTCCAAATGGTTATTTTATCAGATTGTTTGAACATTAAATTTATCTTCATTTGCAATCCAAAGTTACCTGAAGTTTGCTGTTTTTTTTTCTTTTTCATGTGTGTGTGTGTGTATTTTATTGTACACTTGTTTGCTAAAATTCTTTGGCACAATTTTCTGGGGGTGTTCAAACTGCCACGATACAGGTCAGGAGAGAGCTTTGCTTTTGTGCTGCCAATTTTTGAGAATTTAAATTTGGGTCTGGGTTGTGGTTGTATTTTCATTTTTGAAGTCTGTATCTTTATTTGTAACAATTGTACTTTTATTTTTCTATATCCTCTAACTCCAGAGCGATTGTTCTCCCCCCCTCCCCCGGTCTACATTCACAGTTGAACCATGTTTTCAGGAAAGGCGCCTTGATGAAAAGATCAGGATAGGAGCTCTGACCATTCGTCAGTGTTTTCCCTAGTTAAAAAAAAAAAAAAGAAAAACGAAAACAAAAACAAAAAAAAACCTAGAGCGTCTTTCCTTTTTTTTTTTTTTTAAACACACATCTCTTGTGCTGCATCAGTAGACAGAACTTCAGTTAGTTTCATGAAATGCAACATCTAACCTCTTGTTTTCTGGGAAAAAGAAACTGCAATGACTTGAAGTTGAGAATGTGGATACCGCCTCACTCACACACACTCATTCTCAGACTGTAAAAATCCCTTACCCTCCTTCTAGCCAGTACATATATAGTACCACATGGCAAAGGTACAGTGAAGGAGGGCTCAAAACCCAGGCTCCATCTTTCTCCTCAGTAGCAAAGGCCAGGCTGCCTTTTACAACAAAGCACCACAGCTGAACCTAGTCCCTCCTCCTCTCCCAAACCAGTCATTCCATTCGGCACCAAAGACAGAAAGCTAGTTCTAGCAACCCCTGGGAAGAGACAGCTCTTTTGTTTTTTAATAAGCAAGTAAATCCATTGTTTCTCTCTTTTCCAAGATGGCCGATGTTATGGTTTTTACGAAGTCAGTGCTTACTTAAGCTCACTAACAGCTCTGCTGTTGGTGGCTGTGGCTGTGGCAGGATTTTCAATGTGGTGTTTAAGCCTCACTCACTCATCCTCTCATTCCCAAACATTCAGCATCCGTGCACACTCCTCACTTCCGGGTTTTTCAAAAGATTGGAGATTTCCAGTGGGGGTCTCAGGTTATCATCCCAATGGTAACAGATCTAAAAACAGATGAAAGAAAAGGTCAGTCCTGAAATCACATGTACCTACTAGAGTTCAAATACCACAAATTTCTACAACCAAGTGTTTCTAGGTCTGCAAAGGATTTGATAGCTTCTCAACGCCTGCTCTCTCCCCCTGCCCCCACCCCCCCAACTTCCTATGTGTCATCTGCTGGCTCCAACATCTACATCAGAGATATAGATGAGAAAATAATGAAGTTGCTCAGTGGCAGAAGTGTTTTGTAGCAAGTCAGAAGACAATCCTTATTAATGTAAAAAGACAAAATTGAAACCATCTGATCTAAGGTTTGTGTGATACAGTTTATTGAATAGCTGAAGGGAAAAAACACTTTCAAAGCAGGAGTTAAGACAACCTGACAATAATATTCTGTGCAGCTTAGCAAAACACTGTAATAAAAAAGGGGCTAGGGCTACAATTCAGGAACCCTAGCAGCATGGTCCAGTGTTAGATCCCAGCCCCAAGAAAAAGAGGGCATAAGAAAATAAATAGCTGGTTACTGGTGTCTTATGACTATAAATCCTAGTTACTCAGGAGACTGAGACCTGAGGATCTTTTATTTTGGGTCCGGTCATGGGCCTGAACTCTGGGCCTGGGCGCTGTCCCTCAGCTCTTCAGCTCAAGGCTAGCCCTCTACCATTTGAGCCACAGCGCCACTTCCGGCTTTTTTTTTTTTT